AAATGGGGGTGAAAACATTCCTCATCCTTGAAAACATAAGTTTTCTAAGTGATTTTGTGTCCTCTCTTTAAGGGTCTCTTTGACACACTTTCCTATTTTCTTGTTGCACCCTTGAAATTCTAATTCTCACACCACCACTTTTAATCTCATTCTTTTTACTTTTTTACATAATATAATATGTATATATATATATATATCCCTACAACTTTAATACAGTTTTTCCAACAGTCATGCTGGTATTAAAGAAAAAACTGACTCTAGTCAACCTGCATCAGATCACACTCATAAAAGAAATTAATATAATAATTACATGTTAATTATAATTAGTTTAACCGTAAATATATTAAAATTTTTTCTCTATATAATTATTATCAGTAAAGAGAATTAATCAAAAGAGGAAAGAAAAAAGACATATATTTATTATATAAAATTCATGATAAAATCTAGTGAAAGGAGGGCACTGTGGGAAATAAGAGGTGGAGGCAAGAAGGCCCCATTTGGACCACCCCCGCCCTCTGCAAATACATGTTTACAGCTTTTATGCTCATTCTAAAATGAAACACTTCAACCAGAAATACAGTGCCCACGTGCCTCTCCTCTATACACCAACGTATACATACATACATACATACATATATATGGTTTTCAAATTATTTCCACTTCCATTAAATAATTGCACCAAGTAGTGCCTTTTTTTTTTTTTTTTTTAAAGAAAACACAACCATGTAGTACTATCTCTTGTTCATTATTTCTTCTCTTGCGTATACAATAATTATATTATCAAATGGATAGATGTCAACAGTCTTAAATCCTAATCAATTATACTCTAGCTAGCTAACTTATACATTGTATATATATATATAGAGAGAGGAAAAACTTGAGATCAATGGCTAAAAGCATCTTGCAAAAGAAGAATAACCAAGAATAGATGCTCCTTGACCTATACAATTATTCGTAGGGTGGGTAAAAAATTCTATGTGAGTTATAGACATGAAAAAAAAATCGTCCACTAATCAATTCACTTACAAAGGAATTAATTATAGTAATAGTAAGAGATTGGTAAGATATTATAAATTACCTTAAACTTGTATTTTTGAGATCTCTATTGACGGAGACACATGCATTTCATATGTCGTACCTTGTACTAAGCGAGATCAATAGACAAAGGGGTAAGCACATGCTTCACACTTGTAAATATCACAATTATTGTGATCTTTGCAAATAACTCCAAGATTGTCGAACCTTCACTCTTAATCAAGGCATTATGATTAAGCTTAACATAATCATGAGGGGATCATGACCAAAGTAATGGGAAATAATAGTATCCCTTGTATACATTAGACATACCTCTAGGTCATTTATAATTATTAACTCATTAATATGACTAATTAATTTTTGAATTAACTCTTATGACTATATACACTTATTTTGGTGCATCTAATGATTTTACGACTATTATATTCATCACATAATATTGAAGAAATAAGTGAAACCCTTCGAATTGAGAATGGAGAATTCTATTAGTCTATCAAAATATATATCCTGCATCTTAGTCGAAATGAGATGTTGGTTTAACTTCCAAACCATCCTTGCATAGCCACACATTAGAATAAAATGTGTAAGATCCTCCTTAGCTTTACCATAAATAAAACAAATAGGATCAATAAGCAGATCCCTCATTGCCAACTATTTTCGCAAAGGTAATATATTTCTAACCAATCTCCAACCATATATTTTACCATCGGATTATATTTGTATTATATAGTTCTTTTTAAGGCACTATAAATACAAGAATAGTAGATTTAGGCAAAGAGATAGTACAAGACTTTCGCGCTAATAAATAATTCTATTATATATATATATACATATAAATATATATTTAAGAAACTCATCTCATCTCATCTCATCATAGATTACCATAAACCATAGGACTAAGGGAGGTATTTATGATGGTTTCGCTTATTCTAAAGCATTTTCTAAAATTTCCAAGACACATCTTTGAGTGTTTCTTTTTCTTATGCCTGTCTTATGGTGTTTTGAGTATGATCCAAGCGATTGTTTTAAAATGTCTTCTCATATCATAATGTGTTTTTTGGGTATTTTGAAAACATAAAATGTGACACTAGGAATTTATATTATACTGTACTTTTACTCTTATACATTCGTGTGAACATACGGCGTATTGCATGGTATATAATTCAAGGGCTTCATTAATAATGGGATTAAATTGGTAATATACTTATACAGAGTAATTTAGATATATATAAATATAGGATGTGTAGATATTGAGGAATTAGGGAAATGGCGGGGGGGGAGGAAAGCAAGCCATGTTCTGTGATTCAGATTTGTTGATAGTGAACGTAAGTTGCAGCAGTACGAACATAGTGATCCTCACCATGCTCCCAGCTAACAAAATTCAAATCCTGCACAGGCTAATTAATAATAATTTCCAATTAAAGTTTTTTTGGGTGCAATTAATTAATTATATATATATATATATATATAAGATTTTATGACATTGTGATATAGAGAAAGATTAATTAGAGAAAGATAATTGCTAATACGTTTTTAAGAACATAATTTGGATACATAATTGCAGTTCTTTCTTCCATTAACCCAAAACGTTTAAATATTTAACCACATTGTAATTGGAAATATTTAGTTATGAAATGTTAGATATAAATATATATATACACTATGTATATGTATGTATGTATTATGGGAGTGAATTAATAATATTGATGGGGAAATTTAAAAAAGCATGTGGAAGAAGATTGTGAGAAATCTTTGTGAAAGGAAATGAAGGGGAAGACTTGGGAGTGGGAAAAGGTCCCATTTACAGCTATTTAATTAAGACCCTCAGTTTCCGGAATTACGGACGATGTACTTGAACCACTTTAATTAACATAAATAATCTCACTTGGATTATCCAATTAAAACATCATTAATTATAAATAGATTATTTATTAATCTTTTAAATATAGTCATTTTTTTTGGGTCTAAACCAAATACCCAATCAGATTTGAACAAAAAACTTTGATTCAGAGTCAAATATTTTTTGATCCAACATTAACTATTTTAGTAATTGGATATGGGTTTGGTCATTAGAGAATTAAAATAATAGTACTTATGATTTTGATGTGTTATGTAGGGGCAACAGCTTCAATGAGGACCATATATATAGACCCACATCGAGAAATTGCAGGCCACCTCGACTTCATACATCCTTTTTCAGCCCACTGACATGTTGGGTTTTTAGGACCATTTTATGTTGATGAATGCCACATGCCGTCCTCTATAATTCAATTAAGCCTGCGGGCAAAGTTAGTTTCATATCAAACATATTAACTATACACACACATATATTTGGGTATGTGGCTAGAGCAGAGAAAGGGGTCAGTGTGTAAGGATTTCAATAGGTTGTTTTCAATTTAATGCAGTTGGGAACAGGATAAAGACATATGCAATGTTCTCATCATATGTAATACGTATATATGTTTGTGTACAGCATTCATTGAATGCATAAACAAGTGGGGAACTCGGACCGAAACGTAGCGTTCGATGGTCCCTATGGATCTAATGAATATATATATATATATATATGTATTTAATTTTAGTATTGATACATGTCTAAACAACCTTCCATTCTATAAATGTAAAAACATCCAGGTGCTGCCTTCAGTTTATTATTTCTTTCTCCAATCCCATAATTTCAATGCTAATATTCAGGTTTATCACATCAATTAGTTTATATCCTCACTTAGTAAAAATAATCGAAATATAAACAAATTATTTGGTATTATGCTCGCTCAGTTTTACTCTACGATTAGGTTTGCTTTAATCCAAAAACTACAGATGGTGAATTATTAGTCACTTCATAAGTTGGCTCTAAATTTAGGGCAGGTCCAAATTATTAGTCACTTCGTGAAGTTAAATCAAGAATTATGATCAAAGAATATACTGTCGTTGGGTCTCGTTGGTGTCTTCCATGTTGCTTGATCTGGTTCTTAACTAGACCAAGAATTATGGTCTGTTGGTGGATTCCATCTGTGAAACCAGTACTAAGATGAAGAAACCTACATGTGACATTCTTATGTTTGACGAGGTGATAAGTCTAGAATTTTGAAGGTTTGCTCTCGTGAACATAGTGCTAAGATGGGTTTTGAATAAAATTATCTTAATTATTTTTGCTCACCAATTAAAATCATTTTTAATTAGTATTTAGACTTAAGTTAAGATATATTTACACTCTAAAACAACTCTAATGACTCAATCCATGACAAAATATCCTTAATTAAATGCTTATTTAAGTTGATCATCTTAAATTCCTCCATTATTTTATCAGTTGAACTTAATATTTATCTCAACATGATATTTCTCCAGCTACTCAAAAAGTCTAGTTAACATGTATGACCCATTAGATTTTAATTATCTAACTAATATTAGATTTAATAATCAATCAAACTGATTAACGATATAATTAAATAAACTTCACCCCTAACTATTTGAATCCAACCTATGATTGACATCTAGCAATCATCATGACATACAGAAGACATTGAAATTCTCTCTCTAAAGAAAATAACATTTCCCTACAGGTAGAATATCTCCAACTACTCATTATTCAGTTTTTAACATTTAGGAATTTGTTTTACAGTATACAACCTCTCCAAGAGGTTTCGCAATACGCCTTAAATTTAACAAAAATACAAAATTGGTCCACATTTTATGCAAGTAAAACTCAATAAATTTGAATTTCTTTTAAGAAAAAGAAGAGAATTATTAGGGATAACATGTTTACCCAAAATTTTACGTGTGCACCAACCTGTAAAACCAAGGACAACTCTTATCACGATTGAAATTGGCAAGTTCGTAAGCTCAAATGGAGCCAAAGCTGCCTTCTTCTGAGGCAAATTGCATATTTGACTTGAACAGAAAATTGATTCAATTGAGCCATGAAATTTACACCGAAAAGTACCCAAAGTGCCACCAATTGCCAATTGGTGCTTGTTGATCCGTGGAAGATTATTAGACCATTTATAATTAAACTCCCTCATTATTGAAATTGTGCTTCTTGACAGTTTACAGAAACATGCAATCTATAACAATGAGTTGGAGTTGGATAATTACTTATCATCCCTTCTCAGGTATAAGTGGTGTTGTCTGATATAATCTATAACTTCATCTATCGTCAAATACTTTATTGATAACCCTCTTGAAATGCATTCCCTATAACATGAACAGAAGAAGTACCACCATCAATATGACCTTTCCATGGACAAAACTCTGCAACTTCGTGTATTTAGCACTGGTAACTACAGAAACACTCGGCTTACCTCACTCTTGTTGAACTAATTTGGTTAGGTACAAGTTCATCAACCACCTTAATGTTTAACTGCAAAAAGTTACACAGCAAAATTATATGTCAACACAACATTGCCATGGAAACCAGATAATTCATTGCATTATGGACTAGTTACAGATCATACTGATTTGTCAAAAGAAACTAGGGAAAAACTGAAGCTTTTACATGTCAGCAGTTGAATGAATCAGAATGATTTCGTTTCTTACATTAGATATCTTTTTGAGAAACTGAGGAATAAGACAATAGCCAATTTCATAATTTTAACAACCAAGGTCGAGAGAAGCATACAAATTCACAGTGGTAAGTATCAAAATCAAAGTCTTTGTGATTATCACAATTTCCCCCTGAAGATGGTCAAGATCACTGGGCACTCACCTTGTTCTCATTCAGAATCTCATCATTGTAGATGATTTTTTCAACATCTTGTCCTTCTCTGCGGATACAAACCACACCATAATCTTTGCAAATGGTTCTGACCTGGAAAGAAATCAAGGAGCTATGACTGATTGTCAAAACCCAGAAGAGAACGACATCTAAACTTATACCACCGATGGCATGACTTGAGTAGTAATCTAGCAGAAACCTATACTCAATTCAAATAAAAGCAGAAAAGATTGATGCCCTACTAACTAAAAATCTACTTATAGATCCAGTTTCTCAGCAAAGTAGCAGACATGTAAAAGAAAAACGTACAATTGAAATTGTCAACCACGCGGTAGAGGAAAAATAAGCATTTTGCCAACATCCATGGGTCTAAACCATGATTCGGTTTAATAAGAAATTCCAGAAAGGAGAAGAAAACCACTGAACATTAGGCCACCTATTGAAGAACTACAGCATATAGTTATAATTTATAAAATATGCATAGATCAAAATCTAGGGAAAATATATTATAAAGCAGTAACTCTATCTAAAATGGAAGTATAGCATACAAATAAAAATATATATGAATATTTACCTGTTCACGAATCCAAACTCCAGGAATGCTAAAAGATTGGAGTAAGTCAGAGCCACAGATAAGCATTACCTTAAGAGATCCTAGTAGGACAACAAAGAAAGCAAGCATTAGTATTATCAACAGGCATATGACATTAAAATAATATAAGATTTAACTGAAAAAAATACTATTCATACACAATGCAATGGTGTATCTAGGTATAAATAAAAATGTGATGCCTAAAGAACTAGCGCCAGAGACTAATTTCTTAAGAGTGTTGAGAGCATGCATTTTATATGAAGATCAGCAGACCATAAATCACTTCTTAACAATTTATTATTGTCGGACAAAAATTGCAAACAATTTATTTCCAGATTGTTCCTATAGAAAGAGAGAACCATGGGGATCTTAAAAATTATTCTCTCAAAAAAGGATCTTGAGAAAAACTGCAAAAACAATATCCATATACACAGGAAGATGCATTAAAAAGCAGGTGGATATCAAAAACCTTTTTTTTTTTAAAGAAAAAGTATAGAAACTATATTAGTAAAGTACCAAAAAAGAGGGGGTACCGCCAATTTACAAGAGATTTATAAGTTAGTTAGTATATCAATGACATCCTCAAAATCCTCAGTCTTGATTATGTCATGATCTGACACAAGAAAACCGAAATAATTAAACCATTTCTCTCTTTATTCGCTAATATTATTCACAACTCCCTCAAAAGCTCTCAAGTTCCTCTCTTTCCATATGACCCAAAATATGAACAGGGGAATGAGTCTTGCAATTTCTGTTTTTAGTCCAATGCCCTCCCAAGCCCGAATAGAAGGTGGTGGCAATCTTCCTCTTCCCTAAGACACATGAAACATCCATTCGCCAGAGTAACACCTCTAGTCTTTAGTTTATCCAAGGTTAATATGTTTTTCCAGCAAGCCTCCCAAGCGAAGAAAGCCACTCTAGGGGGTGCAGAATTTTTTCAAATTAATTTGCTAGGAAAACAGGGGGGAGTTATTCAGCATATACCCCATCAATTTGCAGTAGTAAGAGCTAATAGAAAACTCGCCATTTTTGCTCCTCCTCTGCAACACCTGATCTGGATCGCTGCCCATTTGAAATTCGGAAATTTTCTTCAACATATTTTCATACTCCTCCACTTCCCAGTCATTCAAATTTCTGCTCACATTAACTGCCCAGATACATCTATTATTTTCCTACGAATAGGCCTCCTCCACCAGCATATCTTTGGCTTGTGCTATTGCGAAAATTTTAGGGTAGCAGAATTTTAGACAACCCCCCCTCCAACCATGAATCATGCCAGAATCTAGTGTTATTCCCTCTTCTCACTTTCCAAGTCAGATTTTCCTTGAAACCAGGTCAGCACATCTTGATTTTCTTCCATAAACCCAGGCCATGACCTCTCCTGTCCACCCTGCCCACACCCATTAATGCGCAGCTCTGCCACCTAGCCATAATCACCCTTCTCCACATTCTACCTTCTTCTCTCAAGAATCTCCACAACCATTTTCCTTGCAAAGCTTTATCGAATAGAACCTGCCATGATTTGTGAAGAAATAGAGAAAGAAGAAATGTTGCAGAAACAGAAAAGAATATAAATGGAGATGAGAATGGAATTAGGATTTAGGAGGAAGAAAGAGCAGGAAAGATAGGAATGCTGTAGGCAGAAATTTTAAGTTTCATTCATATTTTATGGATACAAAGAACCTGACCTGATTTGTGAAGAAATAGAGGAAGAAGAAGAAGAAATGTTGCAGAAACAGAAAAGAATATAGATGGAGATATAACAGAATTAGGATTTAGGAGGAAGAAAGAGTAGGAAAGATGAAGAGATAAGAGGAATTTCTGTAGGGAGAAATTTTAAGTTTCGTTCATATTTTATGGATACAAAGAACCTGACCTGATTTATGAAGAAATAAGAGGAAGAAGAAGAAGAAGAAATGTTGCACAAACAGAAAAGAATATAGATGGAGATATAACAGAATTAGGATTTAGGAGGAAGAAAGAGAAGGAAAGATGAAGATATAAGAGGAATTGCTGTAGGGAGAGATTTTAAGTTTCATTCATATTTTATGGATACAAAAATCATTCCAACAGCACCTTTAATAGCAGAAAGTAATTAATTGAACTAATCTCTAACTAATTAAAACAATCTAACTCGTTATTTGTAACAAATTCTAACTACTATTAATTGGGGCCTTATAGTGACTATGTGAATGTACAGATAGAAGAGGGAGTTCTACAGGCTAAGCAAAAAGTAAATAGTTAATGACGGTCAACTCATATCTACATTTGCCTATTCTCAGCACATCAAAATCATTCCCATCTTAAACCTGCAATTACTGGTGTCTTTTTATTGTATTTTATTTTTATTTTTTTTTGTGCTGCGTAAAAGAGAGAACAATGATAACGTATGCACAGTTCCTAGCCAAAATTTTATTCTCTTACCCCTGGATATCAATCCACTTTCGCTCAAAAGACACTTGACTCTAGAGAGAACAGTTAGAGTACGCTGATATGTACTTTGATTTGCCTGTGATAAGAGTTCTGAAAATGTTAATCTTAGAAAAAGAAAAAACAAAGCTAAGAGCTTGAATGTAGAAAAATAAAAGATAAATCAGAATTGACACTGCAACAGCCTGCTAATGCCAATAGATTTGTATTTATTAACAGAAAAAGAAAGATAAAGCAGATGAAACATCGGTAATTTCTAGATTACATTAATGTAATTTTTATAAATCTGGTCTCTGAAAGAGAAAATTTACCTCCCATGAATCAACCATTATAAACTCAGAGCTTTTGCAGGCTAGATTACATAACTTTACACGATGTTCAGCTGGTATAAGACTCTGCATAAGCAGTCAAGGCCCTGGTTTATTAGACTGTGAGATCATATAAAACCACTGAGGAAAGTACTCTCTGAAGTCCTCGAAGAAAACTTGACAATGCCATCAAACAAACCAAAAGTAACTAAATTCAAAACTGCAGAACCCATTTAAATTTGATAACATAAACTGTACAGTTATGTAATGTGACAATGAGGGTGATGCACCATTGATTTTTACAAACATTTATCAAATACCAACATCCATTAAAGTAAAAAGGAAATAGGAAATCAACCATAATCTTTTATATTATTATAAATTAACAACAGGCAATACCACCATTCTGTTGCACATAGGGTCAATTATATATAAGGCCACCTGTCCATGTGCAACCATTAATGGTTGCAATGGTACACAACCAGTGAGAGACCCAAAAGAATTAAGGTACTCAGATGCTGTCGTCTATCCAATCTGTCTCCAGAGAAGTGTTATGGTCAATCTATCTAGTTAGGCATCTAGTTATGGGTTTGAAAAGGGTAAAATCAAATTGAAGGCTAGAGCATGCCAATGTGCAACCATTTAATGGTTGCAATGTATGCAATCAGTGAGAGACCCAAAACAATTGAGGTACCTGGTGTTGTCATAGATCCAAGCTACTTACTACAGGAGTATTATGCTCAATCTATCTAGTTTTGGATTTAGTTATGGGGTTGAAAAGAGTAAAATCAAATTGAAGGCTAAAGCATTTAGATGTTTTTGGACATGATTGATGATAAAATGGGCTCATTCCAAAGAAACCAACAATCTGCTTAAATTTCATTCTGAGAACATCCTTTAAATACAGTTGATCACAAGAAAAATGTAAAACTATTCACTATATAAGTACTCACCCACAATTTCTACATAAATAATAACCACCTAAAAGTACAAATACTTGACACCAAAACAGCATGGAAATTGAAAAAAAAAATTGCAGGAAAACTGAAAATGGTTGCTGCCATCGGGACAGGGACTTGACAGTGAGTGGTTTAACAATCCATAACAAAACAGACTCAAGTTATTACAAATCTCATGTGAGTTCCGCATATTTTCCCTGTGTCTGACAAGTTAACATCAGGCCTTGTACTTGCATGTCTATCAGTATGTTGTAGAAGTCTACATACCCTTTTGTTGTACGCATCACTAACGGGGGACATGTAGCCTCCAATGACACAATAGCCCTCTGAATTTAAAGCATCTCTGGCCAGCTCTAAGCATAAATGTGGAATTGATTATGTAAATGAATTTATTATACTTTCAAATGAAAATTACACTATTTTTTTAACTAGAAAAGAAAAAAGATATTATAGACAGAAAGTTTCAAAGGATATCACCCAAGTAGGCAAGCAAGAAAATTACAAGAAGAATTAGTCAGACTATCTAAGAGGTCCCCAGGATTCTCAGTGTGAAGTGGGTGAACATTAAACGAAAACATAAGGTCTTGAATCATCTATCTCTTATCCTAAAGAAAATCACAAAATCATTGCACACTTAAATACAATCCACAAAATTCAAATAGAGTGTCAATAATATCTATATACTTCATCTCGAATTAATAAGCTGCATATGAAAGACTAATTCCTTATATCCTCAATGATGAAAAAAGCAACTTCACCAGAAGAGCATCATGAAAAATCAAAACAACTCCGGTAACTTTCAAGAATAATAAGGCAAACAAGCTAATTTTGAAAGGAATAATTTAGTTCAAATACAAAGTCAGTGCAAACACAGGATACCAGAGGTAACATAAAACCATAAAATATAGTCATGTCCTGCCACCGGGGATTATAATAATAAGCCAACAAATATAAGCATTTCACCAGGGATAATGAGTTTTTATGTCACCATCTAGCTATTAAAATGAAAGAACGAAGAATAATTGTTGTCAAACCGATAATATATCATAACTAGGTAACACTACTAGCAGGTAATGTCACATAACATAACATAAACTAAATACAGTTGTAGTTCTAAGCAAACAAACACCTGGATTTTTGTTCTTCTTCACTTCCGAAGAGAAGTTAGCGTTTGAAGAATGCATAAGGTCAGGAAAGAACAAAAGAAACGTGTTATGCATTTTTCACTGAACTTGAAGTTATAGCCAATAACAATAGACAAGAAAAACGCCCGAGCCAACGCGTAACTCACCAAACATGCGCAAGTGCATAAAGGTAGGAGGATTGAAACTCCCGGTTGCTACAAGAACAACAAAAGTCTTCTCCCTGGTATACGGAAAGAAAATTAGTGATCACGAACAAACAGGCATTTCTAAAATACCGTGACATATACTCCAAAGCTCATAACGACAAAACTCGAATTGGATTATTTAGAATGCCAAATGAGTGGCATAAAAACAAAGAAGATGAAGCATTTGCGTAGTCGAGACTTACGCGGTCACTGATTCTGAGAACAACTTATCCAACGGCAAGGGGATGTCCATAGAGGATAGCGAGAGAGAATTACTACCGGAGGAACTAAACCTCTGTTACGTACAGCGAGCGAGAGAGATCAGCGAAGCAAAAGAGTCATAGGCAAAGCATAAGTGGTATCAAAGTTTCAGATCCCCAAAAGCGAAGAAGAGCGTTTGGAAGAAAGGAAGAAGTTACCTGTAACAGAAAGAGGCCAAGTCGAAATTATTAATCGGCAAAGACAATAATAATCATATTATTTATATGTATAATAAAACAATGAGATAACTTAATCAATTACTCAAATTAAGGAAATTTTAATTTGTTATTAATTTTATTTATATTATGATAAATAATATATTATTATATGTTATTATTTTGTTTATTATTATTATTATTATTATTTTTTGGGTTGGACCTAATTCCAAGTGAGATCGGGGTCCGGTGGTATTAGACTTAAGTGGCCAAATGGAAAATACATTCAACACTCTCTCAATCGGTCAAACCGTCTGTAATTTATTTTAAAGATTCATTATATACATCTAATTTTAAATCTCTATTTTATCCCTCGTTACCCAAAAAAAAAAAAAAAAAAAAGACACACCTATATTTCCTCCTCCAATTTTTATAAGATAAGATATTTAAAAAAATACGCTCTCTTGAATAGGCTCATGTAATAGTCGTAATGTGTCCACATATTTTGTACATTTGCTGAGGTGGGCCCCACAATTGCCACTTCACCAAGATGGGACCCACGGTTTCCCAACTAACTACAGTTAACTTTCTATTGTAATTCACCAACTGAAAACCACAGCTGCATGTGCAAAGATGACCAGTTTACATCACGCACCAATACAAGACCCCCATGATTGTCGGTCGCCGGTCATCTTTTTGAATCAACGGCAGATACGACGCCGCATTCCTTACTTCAGCGCCAAGTCTATCCCCTTCCCGCCACAGAAAGTAAATAAAACCATCACCAGGGGTATTTCCGTCCTTTCATGACCAAAAGAACGTAAAAGAAAAGCCGCGAGAAATTTTGCAGTGTCGGTGTCCATAAAAGAAGAGCCACCAGAGCAGAGCAGAGCAGAGAAATGAGGGGTCGGTGTTTCCCGATTTGCCCAGATCCAGCTCTCCCATTCCTTAATTAGACCCTTCTTCGTCATCTCACCTCCCAAATTAAGCTTCTTCTTACCCACATTTCCCAACTTAGCCCCTTCTTTTCTTTTTCTAAACCCTAATACCATTACCTTCCATGCTCTTCATTTGAAATAGATCTGGAGTTCAGGCCTCGATATAGAAAAATGGGGCGTAAATCCAAGTCCAGAGGTTGGTGCGGATGGTTTCTGGTTTTGATCATATTGGCTCTCGTCGTCGGTGCCGTTGTGTACACTATCAAGAAGAGAATCGCTAAATCCGATGACGACTCTCCGGTTCCTGGTCCGCCGGGCGCCGTCCAGAAGAAGTACGCAGACGCCCTCAACATTGCAATGCAGTTCTTTGATGTGCAGAAATGTATTACTTCCTCTTCATTTCCTATATTCTTACATATTTTACCACATTCAGTTTTTTTAATGCTTACCCTGTAACCGGTGCCTTCTTGTTTTGTTGCCTGCATGTGCAAATGTTTCAACTAACCTCCGTTTTTACCTTTACTTCTCTTGTTTTTTTAATTTGTACCGAGAATCTGTTTCCTATTCATAAATTATACTTGATGTTTAATGATCTTTTTAAGCCTTCAAAATTTACACAATGGCAGTTGAATTGGGTAAGCAACCTTTCTCTGTGCATATGTCTTGTTGCAGCTGGTAAGTTAGTTGACAATAAGATATCATGGAGGGGAGATTCGGCGATAAAGGATGGAAGTGAAGCAAAGCTCGACCTGTCTAAAGGCATGTATGATGCAGGGGATCATATGAAGTTTGGTTTTCCTATGGCTTTCACTGCTACAGTGCTCTCATGGGCCATTCTCGAGTATGGAGATCAGATGGGTGTGGTGAACCAATTAGAACCTGCCAAAGACTCGCTCAAGTGGATTACTGACTACCTTATAAATGCTCATCCTTCTGATAATGTTCTCTACATACAGGTATCTCAATTCCCTTCCACTGCCATTTCCTTTTTGAATTGTCTTCATCTTTATTAATCGTCACTTCCCTTTCAAGTTTTCTTAAAACATTCCCTTCATTTAGAAAGAAATAGGACATAAAGTTGGTAAATCTATTCCGAGATTTGAAAACTGGAATCTCGCATCTCTAAGAGGGTTCAAGGGATGGAAGGTCTTATTTTTTTAAGGCATTTGCTTCCTTTTATATGCATATCAGTAGTACATTACAAGTTCTTTTATTACAACTAAGACTTTCCTAGCCATGAGAACGAATCTATATCCATCAACTTTGGAGTCAATTACTTGGCTGACGAACTTGCTTAACATAGTAACGAAACCTCATGTAAATTTTTTTCTTTTATTTGTATGGATTCTTTTCTATCCAACCAACCGAAGGAATATCATCAACTAAGCTCATCTATCTTCTCTCTCTCTCTCTCTCTGGTTAAAAAAAAAAAGAGCTTCTAAAACATATCATAATTAACAGGTGGGTGATCCGGAAGCAGACCATAAATGCTGGGAAAGGCCTGAAACCATGAAGGGGAAGAGGCCCCTCACACAAATCAACACATCTGTTCCTGGAACAGAGGTTGCTGCAGAAACTGCTGCAGCCATGGCTTCAGCATCTCTGGTTTTTAAGGAAGGCGACTCTGCATATTCAAGCACACTTCTCAAGCATGCAAAACAATTGTTTACTTTTGCCAATAATCATAGAGGTTCTTATAGTGAAAACATTCCAGAAGTTCAAACCTATTACAATTCAACTGGATATGGAGATGAACTCTTATGGGCAGCTAGCTGGCTTTATCATGCAACCAGGGACAAAACATACCTTCAGTTTGTGACTGAAAACGGGGATGAATTTGCCAACTTTGGAAGTCCAACCTGGTTCAGCTGGGATAATAAGCTTGCAGGAACGCAGGTGAGACGAAGTTTACATATTACTCAGCTCTATTGAATCATTTTTCTTTTTATACGGCAGCTACATTTATCGGACTCTATTATCGTGCTCATCTTTTGAGAGTCTATGAAGCTTGTTAAATTCCAGATACTACTGGCGATACTTTGTGATGATTTAATGGTATGCTTGTGTCTATCATGCTTTCATAATCATGGCATTTTCTTTTATGTCATGGTTGGTGACTCTAGATATATTATGAAATGCCAAAACCATGATTTTCCCTCAAATTATCTGCTCTCGAATAAAGAGTATGTTAATGTGTGTTCCTACGTCTGTTTAGTCTGTTTCTATATCTTGTTAGCCTAGTAGAGATCTCTCACTTAACATTGCCAAAAACCATAACTTTGTTCTGTCTGTGAGGAGAACTGAAGTTTCTAGTGAAAGACAAAAAAGCACTAATATTTTACCAGAAATTAGAGAAGCTTATAGTTTTTTATAAGACTGATCAATTATGTAAATAAATTCATCTGATACTTCAAATTTCATAGATAAAAGAGGCTGTCGTATGTGTTTAAGGTACAGTTTGCAAGTGGATCCATTTTCTCTTCCTGGATATCATATGCATATGTGATTTTGATGAGATCATAAGGAAATGATTTGAGAAACTTTTTTTCTTTTTATATCTGCATAATGCTGCTTTTTAACCTTGTGAATGACAGTGCTTTCTTGATGCAGGTCTTGCTGTCCAGGTTAACATTCTTTGGCACTAAAGACACCTCAGGGAATAATGGCCTTCTAAAGTACAGACAGACAGCTGAGGCTATTATGTGTGGCCTCCTCCCAAAGTCCCCAACAGCCACATCTAGTAGAACAGATGGTAATTTCTCATTAAATCCTATATTTGACCTGCCACTGGAGCTTGCTTCACCTTCACATTCCCCTTACACCTGCCAGTAACTCTTTTTCCAGACTATAAAGTTCCTATATACTGCTCATGGGAGAAGATTTAGTCACATCGCTTGAAATTTGTTTTAAATTTGGGTGCATACAATCACAAGAATGTTAGAACTAGGTAACTGTACTATCTTCCAGATCTGAATCGTCAAGTATTATGATCTACCTTTTTCTTTCCACAGTTCTTATATTGTTGGACGTTTCCAAGTACAAACCTTGACCTTAAATACATATGATGACATGGGTCTTGTCCTGTCCTTCTTATCTTGCAGGCTTGGGGAAACATTTGTCTTCCCTCGTCTTCCATTTGTCATCCTGTGAAGGAAAATGAAAACAGTCATGCATAGAATTATGATCAATGAAATATTTGCTATAGAGAGATAAAAAGAGATCTCAAGATCATATCCAAAGATTATATTGACCACAGCATGGAATAATTAGTACCCTGTATTTAATAGTCATAGAAGCAGGTAATTATAAAATCCATAAGCACGCTCCATCTATTATCTGCTAACTGAGAATTTGATAGGAGCAAGCAGATGCTTGAGGCAGTCAAAGACACATGATTTTGTGATACCAAACTTATCTAATCAATGTATCCTATCTGAATTATGCTTATTCTCCTACAAAGGATTGCATTAACTTGCAAGACAATCTTAAATCGATCCTAAGAGCACAGTCATCCATGTCATTTAAGTGATGCCATTTGCTTACACTGAAGTTCCTCAAATGCAGGTGGTCTTATATGGGTCAGTGACTGGAATGCCTTGCAACATCCCGTTGCTTCAGCATTTTTAGCTTCTCTTTACAGTGATTACATGCTCACATCACGAACTGCCAGGCTTTCCTGCAGTGGGGAATCCTTCAAACCATCAGAGCTTAGAAAGTTTGCCAAATCCCAGGTATGCCATTCTTCCTTATGAGACATAGATAGTGGGTACATAAGCTGTCCGAATGTAATAAACAAGAAACCCCATCTTCAATTTAATTTAATCATGAGAAGAATTCAACTTTTGTTTCTTTCCAGGCTGATTATGTCTTGGGTGACAATCCTTTGAAAATGAGCTTCCTAGTGGGCTACGGGGAGAAATACCCACAGTTTGTGCACCACAGAGGAGCTTCAATTCCAACTGATGCAACAACTGGCTGCACCGATGGCTTCAGGTGGCTTGACTCGGACGAACCTAATCCTAATGTAGCTGTTGGAGCACTTGTTGGCGGACCATTTCTAAATGAAACTTATATCGACTCTCGGAACAACTCCATGCAAGGGGAACCCAGCACATATAATGGTGCCGTTGTTGTCGGTCTCCTATCAAGTTTAGTGACCACGTCTTCTGCAGTTCAATCCTTTGCCTAAAGTAGCCTCGGTACACAATTACTACACGTTGATTGTATTATATGTAAGGTGTATGCATATTCATTCTCTACAGATACTCTTTTTCTTTTGGTAATGATTTTTACCAAGTTCTTAGTATATGAATAGATGTATCTTTTGCTCCTTCGCCCGTCAATCAGATTCTCTTTTTATCTTGGTAAGTGAGATGCCGGTTCTCAAACCTTGTACCGTTTGGAGTTTTAAGTGTTAGGACAATGTTAATGCTCGGAGACCTGAGTAGGTCCTTTAAATCCTGTTGTTGGCGACTTGGCAGCTTATTGACATGAGATAGCAAAATAAAAGAGATTTTTTTAACCTTTGTTATAAAATTATTGCCATAAACTCTATGATTTGGTAGTTTTCAATCTTTTAATTGAAAATATTAACTAGATTTATGTTTGTATTGTAGTATTAAATTTTAATTTAAAATTAATTCCAAGTAAGTGTAAGAATAATTTAAATCAAAATTGTACTTCTTATTTTATTTAGTTAAAAGGTTAAATTTTTTTTTTGCCATTTATTTGAAACATTTATTAATTTATATATAACTAATTAATTATAAGAGATATTTAGTAAAAAAGAAAAAAAGGGATGTTCAAATAAAATTTTTATAAAAGCAGGGTAAATATTTGTCACTTTACAAAAGCACAATTTTCATCATTCCTCATAATTTAAAAATATAAAAATAATTATTATTTACTTGGTTAGAGTACTTTTTCTTCTAAAATTTTGAAAAGTAAGTTTGTCAAATATTAAAAAATCGGATTTTTATATTTTGTCTAATAGAATTTCTTAATTTTGATTTTGATCATTTGAATACATGAATTTTGACTTCAAACAATTATCTCAACTTTCACATTGTGTTAATTAAGTGTATTGCTCCTAACATTTTAAAATAACAACTACACCACACATACGATACAACAAAGTCCAAGAGTTACATAAATGTGCAACCTTTTCAATTTAACTTTGATTCAGAATTTTGCTTAACTATTCAATTAATATAATTAATTTTATTACAGCATGCCCTGTTGGGTTATCAATTAGATAAGATTTAATATTAAGAATACATTAAAAGTAAAAAAAAAAAATAGATATTTTTATTTTACACATTGGTAGTAAATAATTTAATCAAATTTTATATGGAATATTTGATAATTTGAAGTGGTTTTAGTTTTTTTTTTTTTTTAAATTCAAATTATTTTCTATTGGTATAAATAAAATAAGATACTTTTATTTTAAATATATTTTAATATTGAAGTTAATTTGCTAATTGTTTGGTATACCCTGTGTTTATTTTGCTACTAAGTGACATCTTACATAGTAAAAACATTAACCGACGCTAAGCAAAATTCTTAATGATAGCAATTAAAAATATTATACATTTGATTGTAAAAGAATCAAAATACTGATTCCTCAACTGTGCAATGTTGGAACCATTTAATATGTATTTAATTTTAAACAGTATTAGACAGAGGGTCATGCAGAAATTGTCAATATGTATTTATAAACTCGCAATCTAATGCAACATCAGCATGTTAAATAAAACTTGAAATACATACTTACCCTTTGGCTTGCATTGTATATTTTTTCACATATTTGTAAGATATAAAAAATTTTGAATGTGCTGAGACATGTCATCTATGTAATAAGCAACTCATCAAAAGAAATATATTTTCTAAGCATGAACAATAATTGAAATTAGAAAAAAAAAAAAAAAAGAATGCGTTTAACAACCTATTCTTCAAATTAGGTTAATATGCAGAAATATCATTATTTTCACCTAAACATATATATTTAGCCATAAAGTATCTCTTTACTATTTTTTTCAAACTTCAAAATAAGCAAATTTGAAAAAAAAAAAGGAATCTATACGTTTAGGAGAAAATAATGTTTCATTTTTATCCTTTACTTGTCAACTGATTTACATCACGAAATTGAAACAAAAGATCGAAATAGATTTTTTGAAGGTGGTCGAAATTAGTTTTTGATTTTCGGAAAACACAAGGAAAAGTAGCCGAAATTTGCTATTCCGAGTTAAATCGGTTTCGCTCCCAGCAGAAAGTAAGACTGTCTGACCATGAAAATGGTCACAAGAAAAACTTTCAACAGCTTCTTTTAATTAGGTGGTTTAGCGAATTGGCATGATAACATTCACCCTTTAAGCTCATTTCATGGATACTGCAGATTCCTCATGAAGCTCTTCTGGAAGATTGTTTTCTCCTCTTAACACCAATCACGTTCAATTCAACTCAGTTCTAAAATGTCGCCACTAGCATCAAGAATATAAGCAGTAGAGAAACAATATTTCGTAGCAGAAGAATTACAGGAGGATGTGGCCATAAGAAACCCCAAATGCCTTACGAATTTTCGTTACTTCTATTGGATGCCATTCACCTTTATGTAAAAAACAAAGAAGTCAAACTGTGACCCTACAATTTCTCTCGGGCAGTGCGGCCACAGCCTTTGATACGGATGAAAATACAATATTATTACACTGCTGGGGAAAAGGGTTAAAATGGAAGAAATAACAATAATAAGGAAACCCAGAAACGTAGGTTACACTCAAGCCAGGAAATCAATGAAAACAAATGTGGTACAACATACGATAAGGAGAAAAATATGGCTATTATCGGCTACCTTACCGTGCGGACATCAGTGACCTATTTGTTTCTGTGTCTTAACACAGAGTATTGGTTGTCTCGTGGATTACCACTTTGGTGTTGGTTCCCTCTTTGTTGTCTATTATTACTATCATGATGATGGTCATAACCTCTTGGAATGCTTTTATTCACTGTCCTCTGCTGCCCATGGTGGCCATATCCTCGAGAACTGCTCTGGTTGGCTGGTGGAGGCAACATACCTCCTAATTGCTGATAACTATCAGTTCTTGGTGATTCATAATTTTGGTGGCCAACATAATCACCCTGACGAGGATAGTCAATAACATTACTTGGCATTTGTGGTGTAGGCCTGTGCAAGTGCATTGGTCCGCTATTATGTTGAGATCCTGGCAGGTAATTAGCAGGCCTTGGATACTCTCCGCCAGTATTGCCAGCTGAACGGTCATTTCTCTGGTATTGAGGATAAGATGCTGTATGGGAGTGCACAGCTAATGAACTATGAGGTTGACCATAACCATGGACATAAGGAGTTCGCATAACAGCATTTGAACTGTGTGGTGTTCCAAAATCACAATGGTCCGGTCCAGGTGGCACCATTCCATTATGACCCTGATTGCGGAACCCATAACTTGAATTCGACCAGCGTGCTTGGACATGAGGTGCTACATTGTATGCAGGTGGAGCATGGATATTATTGCCAAATCTGTTGTGATCGACCTTCATCTGTAAGCTATTAACAATGAGTCGATGCGATGCCTCCCCAAGCTGCCGCCCAGATATGCTTTCGGGAGCATTATGCCTGAAATGAAAGTAAAAATCAGAAAATCTTGGAAAAAAACAAAGTTTTACAAAACACACACACAAAACGTGCAGGAAAAGTAATGTCCATTAAATGGTTAGTCTGCAGAAGTTTGTAGATGCATGGAACTCAAACTGAGCAGCGCAGTTTTCGTCCCTCTTCCCCTTTTAGGTCAGCTAGGGTTTATTCCCAGTTCTAAGAAAATTATGGGAAGTGGCTTCATAGAACTATCTTCAGATCTTCAAGAAATAAAAATAATTACCTTCCACTTTCCCACGGTCTTCTCCCAGAATCCTCATGCCACAGAACAGGTTCAGGTTTCAAATCCCTCAGCTGCACAATCTGCAAGACAACAAGAAATTTTAACATCTAGGTGTCTATAAAAACAATAATTTAAAGCATCAAGAACTACAGTAAACCATTTTCTATTTGTTGAAAAATGATCCGCTTAACAAATTCTTCCAATACCAAAACTGTAACTAGGCCAAGAAACTACCTTACTCAGGTGCACACGTGTCTACATTTTACTTTCAATAGCATTTTTAGTCAGCAGAACTAGGGCAAGAAACTAAAAAGTATGAAACATGGTGCAAAGAATAAAACAGTTTTATGCAACAAATGAACAGCAAGCAGACAATAGTAATCTTGCTTGCTGAACAAAATTCACATGCACCAATACAAGCACAAAAAATAACCAGCGAGTGGGTACAAAATTTCCTAGCCAAACAGAACCAAATTAGTCAATAATTACCTTTTCAGGGAATATCACACCAGGAGGAGGATATGTGATGTGTTTATGCGCATCCGGAAGCCTATATATGACACATCTGAAAAGTAGCACCAAAAACAAAATTAAAACAGGTAAGCATCTATATTCCATATTCCAACTAGTCCAAGCCACATGGACACCTCGATTAATCTGGTCAAGCCACATGAATATCATAATTAATCAGGCAAATAATTTTACATCCAATGCTCAAGAACTCACATGACTTCATTGGCCAATATATCTTCCATGCCCGCAACTGGAGACCTGAATATGGGAGGGTGAGTATCGCCAAAGCAAGGAGATATATAACCGTTCATCCCATCACTGCGTGAAGCCCTAAATCAATCAGCAGATGGTTGAAACATATCTCGGATCCATAATTAGGAACAACATCAATAACGACACTCAGCAAATAAACC